ACAGACGCACACACCATGACAGCAGAGACACACACCCCATGACACAGACAGACACACACAATGACACAGACACACATTGCATGACACAGACAGACACACACACACACCATGACAGAGACACACACACACACCATGACACAGATGCACACACCATGACAGACAGAGACACACACACAACATGACACAGACAGACACACACAATGACACAGACAGAGACACACAATGGCACAGACACACACACCATGACACAGACAGACACACACACACCATGACACAGACAGACACATACACACACCATGACACAGACAGACACACCACGACAGACACACAAATGACACAGACACACACACACATACACTCACACTGACACACATAATTGCTACCTGTGTGCTGGCATGGGGAGCTCTGATGGCAGCCTCATGGAGGAGCTGGCTCTTCTGGCGGCCACAGAGGGAGCTCTTTTGGTGGCCACAGGGGGAGCTGGCTGTTCTGTCTCTGCTGCCCCTCCCTAGCGCACTGCTTAATGAGACCGGGGCCGGAATATGACATAATTTTCCGGCCCCAGTCTCATTAAACGGCGCGCTGGGGAGGGGGAGCAGAGATGGAACAGCCAGCTCCCCCTGCGGCTGCCAAAAGAGCTCCCTCTGCGGCCGCAGGTGAGCCAGCTGCCTGCCCAGTCCCAGGTGCCGACGGCCCACCGTGAAATTTCCCGGTATCCCGGTGGGCCAGTCCGGCCCTGCAGACATACAGACCCTGATATCCATACACACATACATTCATAATGGCATACAGACATACATACATCCAGACTGACATACATGCATATATACAGACATACTGACAGACATACATGCATACAGACATCCATACACACATACACACACACATACGTTCATAATGATATGCAGACATACATTCATACTGACATACAGACGTACATATATACATATATAATGACAAGCAGACATAAATATATACATACATAGACATACATGCATACAGACATACATACATACATAGACATACATACATAGACATACATGCATGCATACATACATACATACAGACATACATACAGACATACATACAGACATACATACAGACATGCATGCATACATATAGACATACATACAGACATACGTGCATGCATACATACATACAGACATACATAGACAGACATACATACATAGACATACATGCATACATGCATACATACATACATACAGATATACAGACAGACATAGACATAAATGCATGCAGACAGACAGACATACATAGGCGTACATGCATGCATACATACATACAGACAGACATGCATGCATACAAACATAGACATACATACACATACATACATAGACATATATACAGACAGACATACATACACAGACATACATACACAGACATACATACATGCATACAGACAGACATGCATACATAGACATACATAGAGACAAACGGACATACATGCATACAGACAGACATCCATAGAAATACAGACACACACACAAAGCTCATTTTCCAGCCACCCTCCTGTCTCTTACCTTGTCTTTGCAGGAGGGTGGCTGGGGCTGATGGGAGTAGTCGGCTGGCTCACCCTCACTGGCGTCCGCGCGCTCCTCCCGCGCGGAGTGAGCTTAGAGGAAGTGACCACTTACTCCCAGCAGCACTTGCTGTGGCTGCAGTTGTTTTTTTGTTTTTTTTAAAGGGGCCCGGTTGCGCTATTACACGGCCACAGCGCTGACCGGGCCCCTGAAGATACAGGGCCCATTGGGTGGCCCTAAGTGCGTGGGCCACCCGATGGGCCCCATCAGCGTGCGGGCCCCAGTGCAAGTGCACCTGTGGCAGTTCCGTTGCTACACGTGGGGCCCGGGTGGCCGGGCCCCCCAGGGCCATCGGGCCCGTGACAATCATTATGGTTGTCACCCCCTGATGGCGGCCCTGGGCCACTCCTCAGATACAGACGTACATATATACATATATAATGACATCTGTTAGAGATCCTTCCTGGGTCATGGCTGCCTAAATGCATCCAAACATTCAGTATCTCCTCCCTCTGCATGCAGACACTGAACTTTCCTCATAGGAGATTCATTGATTCAATTCATCTCTATGAGGAGATGCTGATTGGCCAGGGCTGTGTTTGAATTGTGCTGGCTCTGCCCCTGATCTGCCTCTTTGTCAGTCTCAACCAATCCTATGGGGACGCATTGTGATTGGATCAGGCTACCACTTCTGATGATGTCAGCAGACTGCTTGTTTTTCTGAGTCTAACAGCATGCATAGTTACAGCTTCAGGCTTGTATACAGTAAGATTTTTCTGTATTTATGGAGGCATGAGGGGCCCAGTGGAGCTAGATGGTGGTTTTAACACTATAGGGTCAGGAATACATGTTTGTGTTCCTGACCCTATAGTGATCCTTTAATGTTAAATCTGTCCATTCTATGATTTCTGATTTATTTTATATTTGTTATACATAAAGGGACACTATAGTTAACAAAACAATGTTAGCTTAACCCCTTCAGACCGGAGGGCGTACAATTACGTCCTATTTTAGGCGGTTCTAAACGCCGCCGGGCGTAATTGTACGCCCTCCGGTTTTTTCTTACTTACCCGGTTTTTTCTTATCCCAGGGAGACCCCCCGCGGCAGATCCTCCTCCTCCGGTGCCCCCCGGCCATGTGAGAGTGAGGTCCTTGCGAGGACCTCACAATCACATGGCCGGGTAGGCTGCCTCCTGCATTGCCAGCAGTGGGGCTGCCTGTAATGACAGGTGGTCCCCCTGCTGGCTGGAAATAAAAATAAAATAAAATTTATAAGTGTAAAAAAAAAAAATTATACTTAGATCATATATATATTGGACAGACATTATATATATATATATGATCTAAGTATATATATATATATACACATACACATACACACACATACACTGTCTAGGTGTATTTTACCATTAATATATATAAATTTATATAGGTATATATAAATATATTAATATCAAATTACACGTAGACTGATACTGATTAAATATATATATAATTATTGTTATATATATATATTTATATATAATATAAAAAAATTAAATATGTAAATACGTTAAAAAATAAAATTAAAAAAATAATTAAAAAATATATAGATGTGTGTTATTTCGTTCTAACTGTATTGTGATATTAATATATATATTTATATCAAAATACATGTAGAACGAAATAATATATATATCTATATACATAAATATATATGTATATATCACCATATATATACCTATATATAAATAAAAATATTTAAAAAAAATTATATATAAACACATATAGATTCACCTACATATATATATACATATATTAATTCTACATATATATTTATGTAATATTTTTACATAATTAGGTATCTTAATTAATTACAATTAGCGGGACCTGCCTGACAACCCATGCCGAAAGTAAAGGGAATTTAATTTGCTAGCACTATATTTAACCCTATAACTTTTCAAGACACCATAAAACCTGTACATGGGGGGTACTGTTCTACTCAGGAGACTTCGCTGAACACAAATATTAGTGTTTCAAAACAGTAAAATGTATTACAACGATGATATCGCCAGTAAAAGTGACGTTTTTTGCATTTTTCATGCACAAACAGCACTTACACGGACGATATTATTGCTGCGATACTTTTTACTGTTTTGAAACACAAATATTTGTGTTCAGCGAAGTTTCCCGAGTACAACAGTACCCCTCATGTACAGGTTTAATGGTGTTTTCAAAAGTTACAGCGTCAAATATAAGGCTTGCGTTTCATTTTTTTCACATTAAAATACGCCAGATTGGTTACGGTGCTTTTGAGACCCTATGGTAGCCCAAGAATGAAAATTACCCCTATGCTGGCATACCATTTGCAATAGTAGACAACCTAAGGTATTGCAAACGGGGTATCTCCAGTCTTTTTTAGTAGCCACTTAGTCACAAACACTGGCCAAAATTGGCGTTTTTTGCATTTTTCACAAAAACAAATACTAACGCTAACATTGGCCAGTGTTTGTGACCAAATGGGTACTAAAAAAGACTGGACATACCCCATTTGCAATACCTTGGGTTGTCTAGTATTGCAAACGGTATGCCATTGTGGGTGTAAATTTAATTCCTGGGCTACTAAACAGTCTCAAAGGCAACATAACCTATCTGGTGAATTTCAATTTCAAATGTAATGTGCTATATTTGACCCTGTAACTTCCCAAAACACCATAAAACCTGTACATAGGGGGTACTGTTTTACACGTGAGACTTTGCTGAATACAAATATGTGTATTTTATTGCAGTAAAAGCAAACAGTATTATGACATTGACAGTTAAAATGTCATGTAGAACTAAAAAAATTTAAAAAAATCTTTATTTTCTCCCATTTTTTTCATATTAAATTATGTTTCACAGCTAAATATTTGATATTAAATGAAAGCCCCGTTTCCCCTGAATAAAATGATATATAATAAGGATGGGTGCATTTACTATGAAAGAGGTGAATTACGGTTGGACAGACATGTAGCGCAAATGCCAGGTTTTGTTTACATTTTGTTTTGTTCACAACGTGTACATTTGGCTCCGTCCTTAAGGGGTTAAAGAGGCAGTTTTGTTGTATAGATCATGCCCCTGCAGTCTCACTGCTCATTTCTCTGCCACTTAGGAGTTAAATCCCTTTGTTTATGCAGCCCCAGACACTCCTCCCCACATGTGACTTGCACAGCCTTCCTAAGCACTTCATGTAAAGAGCCATCTAATGTTTAAACTTCCTTTATTGCATATTCTGTTTAATTTAGATTTTCTTATCTGCTGCACTGTTAATAGCTTGCTAGACCCTGCAGGAGCCTCCTGTGACAAACTCCCCTGTCCTCATGTATTTACCCCGAGCTCCTGGGGGAGCCTGCTTGCCAGCCTCCTGCCCACCAACTATGGGCCAGGTCAGTGACTGTAAAGACCCATATTTTATTCCTCCTGGCTCCCCTGGTTCAGCACTGTGACGAGACCAATCTCGCCACATTGCATTGGAGAAGCCTGGTTGCCCGCCTGTTGCCTCTGGACTATGGCCCCATGTTAAAAAGCTTGATTTTCCCCTGCAAAGACACGAAAGCCGGGTCATTCGGTGCTTGCCCTGTTTGAGCGGTGATACCCCAGATAGCTATGCCATGGAGCCCATTCGTATAATGAAAGACTATGGGAAAGACTTTGGCTCCATGGCAATTGAACTGTATGTGTGTGCTCTGAGCGCCATTCAGTAATAATGTGCGCTCAGATCTGAGCTATCTGGGGATATGTTGACTGTACCTGTTTTGTGCAATGGCTGCACAGTTATATGTTTTTATGTGTTTTATTGTCTTTTGCTGCCATGTGTTCAATGGAGTTTTGCCTCTGTCTTTGGAGATAATTGGATTACTTCCCAATTATCTACAGGATAGGAGACTCTGTGGAACTGGTTTTGGGCAGAAAAGCCATGCTTCCTTTGGTCACAAAGGACTACGATCTATCTTTTGAACCACTGGACCAATTTGGATGATTTTGACATATGTTTGTATTTGGAGTATGCTGATTCTGAAAATGTAAGTGAATGTGATTGTGGCAAACCTAGCCACTTGGACAATAACTAGAGACTGTGCCTTTAAGGGTTGCCAATAGGTCGGGCGAGATATGCGCTTTATACTTATGTATATGTTCATGTATTTTCTGCGTTACCTGTATTGCTGTTTCCGCCGAATACAAATGGCGGTTTTGCATGGGGATTTTCCTTCGTTTCACGAACGGCACTTTAGAAAGCCGTTCGTGAACCGAACGCGATACCCTCAAATAGCCCACACACTTAGAGGCGTGTGGCGCTAGTTAACCGATTGCAGCATTGTTGCAATCGGTTATTAGAGGCTCTCCTGGGTGGCCGTCGTTCGACTACCGACCATGCGGCGGTCGGCCATCTTGGATCCCTTGTTCGTCAGCGGGTCCGTGTCGTCGAACGCATACCATTACCAATGGTTATTCGACGGCACGAACACCGCTGAGACTCCCAGACGTTCGGGAGTTTCAGGACCAGGTTCACCAAAAGCAATCGGTCCTTTTTGTGGGTTTTGAAAGAAATATGTTTTCTGTGCGGCGTTCGGTTATTTTGGCTGGGATCTGAGCGGCAATCTCACGAATGATGCGCCCAGACCCCAGCTAACTACCGAACGTCCATTCGTGTAAATCCAGCGTATATTTCAAAAGTTATGCATTTTTATATGAATTGCCAGTTCTGCTGCACGAGGGGATAGTCCCCTTTACGGTGCATTCTGGGAGGACGGTCCCTCTCGTGCAGCAGTGCCTGATGGGAGAAATATGTCATACTGTAAGTCCCCCATGTAGTCCCCTCTGGGAGTGCCCCTGGGAAAGGACTCAGGAAACCCCTTGCATGGGGACTTGTATAAATTGTCGTGCCGATTAAAGGATTGTCAGTTGACTCCCAAAACTGTGTCTCGTCCGGTTATTGGGAGGTTGGGGATATTGCCTTGGTGTTTTCAGCGCTTGACTGTGGATTCGTTTCTGGACCAGCGGAATTCGTGGATTTTATATTGGCGTTCCGCTACAATTGGTGGCAAGCGACGGGATCCAACTCTACAGCCGAATACAGCTCATTCGAATGAAAGGAACTACCGAACGGAAAGGCAATTCGTATGAAACAAGCAGACGAAAGCGATCAGTGAATGGGGACTGATTACACGGCGTTAAAGAGACAGACGCTAAAGGAACTGCTGGAGGCTAGAGGGAGAAGCGCTAGCAACAAATCGAAAGCAGTCCTGATTGCAGAACTAATGGAGGGCGACCAGGCACACAGCAGTCCACCCCCACCTGCCAGAGAGGAAACACCATACCAGAGGGAACTGAGAACCCGGCTGGAATTTGTACCACAGCCAGTAACCCTGGACATCTTAGCCGTGCTAATGGCCGACGTCCAGGACTACATTATGGCACAGCAACCCCAGAGGTCACCATCCAGGGCGGAATCCATCGTCAACTCATTCTGCCCTCCAACAAAGCAGAAAATACCGTACCAGGCATTTAAAACATTCTGCGAGGAGAAGGATGAGATAGACGGATATCTGCAGGATTTCGAGAGGCTATGCGACCTGCACGACCTGGAACCGACCATGTGGGTACCCTTACTGGCAGGCAAGTTGGCAGGGCGAGCAGCAGAGGCTTACCGCGCTGTGCCCAGAGAGGACAGCAAAGACTACTTTAAAGTAAAAAGAGCAATCCTAGAAAGATATGCCATAACCCCAGAGGCATACCGACGGAAATTTCGGGGATTGAAAAAACCCGACAGATTCCCACGCAGAATGGGCGCATAAGCTGGACCAAGCTTCACAAGGGTGGATTCAGGCAAGTCAAGCCACCACCATGGAGGAACTGCGCCAACTCATCTTGCTGGAGCAATTCTTCAACAGTCTGTCACCAGAGGCACAGGAGTGGGTAAGGGACCGAAAACCTCTCAACCTCACAGCAGCCGCCCGATTGGCAGACGAACACTTTGACGCCCGGAGACACCATGGGCTCACCAACCGGGGTCCCCTGAGACCGCCAATACAACAGCACCCAGCCAGCTCCACACCCGCCAACTCTACCCCCTTCAGGCCACCACCAGGAAACCCCCCACCGCCAGCCCGCTACAATGGCAGGGCCAACATACAATGCCATACCTGCCGGCAGTGGGGGCATATGTCTCGGGAGTGCACACAGAATCGTAGCAGGCAGGCGTGGAACCAGGTGCGGCAGAATTCCGTTCCCAGGGCGGCGGCCCATTGCTACCACGCAGAACCTGACCATTCGGAGCTGACAAGTGTACCAACCGAGGAACCATTGGGGGTTCTCTACGAGGTAATGTCTGTGCAAGCCACGGACAACCGGCAGCATCACCGCCAAGTTGTATTTGTGGGAGGGAAAGAAGTGCAGGGGCTACGGGACTCGGGAGCCACCTTAACCTTAGTGGCCCCCCATCTAATTCCGGATACGGCCCACACTGGCGGATCCGTGGCAGTCCGGGTAGCAGGGGGAGCCATGTACCGGTTACCCACGGCCAAGGTGCATTTGAATTGGGGTGCTGGGGAGGGGGTTGTGGAAGTGGCCATAATGAAGAAACTACCGGCCGATGTTGTTTTGGGGAATGACTTGGGCCAGATGACTTCTGCTTTTCTACCCCAGGCCCCGTCACAAGAGGCGCATCCGGTAACCACCCGGCAACAGGCTCGCACCACGGCATGCTCTGCACACTCTGAGGCTCAGGTAAGAAATCATGACCCCCCCTTGACAGGCATGACTTGGGACACCCCGTCCACGTTCGAAGTGGAGGTGCAGACCGACCCCACACTGCAGGTATACCGGGATAGGGTAGATACGGACCAGGTGGGGCAGGAGGGAGAACAGTACCGGTGGGAGAAGAAGTTACTATACCGGGTGGCGGAAAGGGCAATAGGCAACTCTGTGACGCTCCAAACTAAGCAGTTAGTAGTGCCCCAGAAGTATAGGCAGGAGTTGCTAAGAATCGCCCATGATATCCCTCTGTCCGGCCATCTAGGGATGACCCGGACCCGGTATCGCTTAACGCACGCATTCTTTTGGCCCGGGATTTCTAAAGACGTGAGGCAATACTGTACCTCCTGTGATGTGTGCCAGAGGGTAGGCAAGAGGGGGGACCGCCACAAGGCAAAACTGTGTCCCCTACCTATCATTGAAGAACCATTCAGCCGTGTGGCAGTGGATATAGTAGGGCCACTACCAAAACCCAGCCCTTCTGGGAAACGGTATATCCTGACCGTGGTGGATTACGCCACCCGGTACCCCGAGGCGATTGCCCTAACTAATATACACGCCGAGACCGTAGCTGAAGCCTTGATGAAAATATTCTCCCGAGTAGGGTTCCCACAAGAAATGGTCTCCGATAGGGGGACGCAATTCACGGCTGAGGTGACTCAGCAGTTATGGAGGATATGTGGCATTAAGCCGATCATTAACTCTGCCTACCACCCGCAATCCAACGGATTATGTGAGCGATTCAACGGCACCCTAAAACAGATGCTCCGGACATTCGGAGAGACCCATAAGGACTGGGAACGATTCCTTCCCCATCTGTTGTTTGCATACAGAGAGGTACCCCAAGAGTCCACCGGTTTCTCCCCATTTGAGCTATTGTTTGGGAGAAGGGTCCGGGGGCCGTTGGATCTCATTAGAGAGCATTGGGAGGGAGAGAGTAGCGCAGATGGGACCCCAATTGTACCCTACGTGCTGGCGTTCCGGGATCGCCTGGAGGAATTGACCCAGGCAGTGCGCACCAACCTCCAGGCCGCCCAACAACGCCAGCGTCGTTGGTATGACAAGGGGGCCAGAGACCGTAGTTTTCAAGTGGGACAGAAGGTGCTAATCCTTAAACCCGGTCCGCACCGATAAACTACAGGCCGTCTGGCAGGGCCCATACCAGGTGGTAGAGCAGAGATGCGATACCACCTATGTGATCGGCCCATGCTCCGGAGTAGGGAAGAGACGCATGCTCCATGTGAACATGCTCAAACCCTACCACGAGCGGACGGAGGACGTGACAGCTATTTGCACGCCCGCCTCCGAAGATCAGGAGAACCTGCCCCTTCCAGATCTGTTAGAGCAGGAGGAGCAGAAGGAACCCTCCCAGGGGGTTCAACTGGGGGAGCGGCTAAGTCCTCAAGAGCGTATCCAGGTACAGGAACTGAAAACAACCAAGGGCGCCGCCTTTTCTAACCTACCTGGGTACACTCCACTAGCCACCCACCGAGTGGAAACCCCGGGACAGCTTCCCATGCGACAGACTCCCTATCGGATTCCCGAATCCGTGCGGGAACATATGAGAAAGGAAATTGAAGAGATGTTGCAGTTGGGGGTTATTGAGCACTCCGATAGCCCCTGGGCATCGCCGGTAGTCCTGGTTCCCAAGAAAGATGGTACCACCCGGTTCTGCGTGGACTACCGGAGGTTGAACGACAAAACTGTGTCGGACGCCTACCCGATGCCTCGGATAGACGAACTGCTTGATAAAATGGCCAGGGGTCAGTATCTCACTACCATAGATTTGTGTAAGGGATACTGGCAAATTCCACTAGCCGAGGACGCCATCCCTAAGTCGGCGTTTGTCACCCCGTTTGGCTTGTACCAATTTCGAGTCATGCCATTCGGGATGAAGAACGCCCCCGCGACCTTCCAGCGGATGGTGGATCGGCTACT